CACAAGAATCTGGTTAGATTACTTGGTTTCTGTGATGAAGGGCAAGAAAGGTTGCTCGTTTACGAGTTCTTGACCAATGGCACACTATCAAGCCTTCTCTTTTCAGGTGAATCCAAACCCAGTTGGATCCAGAGATGCCACATCGCTTCAGGAATTGCCGGGGGATTACTATACTTGCATGAAGAGTGCACTACACAAATCATCCACTGTGACATAAAGCCACAGAACATACTTCTCGACGACTACCACAACGCGAGAATCTCCGATTTTGGACTTGCCAAGCTTTTGAAGATGAACCAGAGCCATACTCAGACGAATATAAGAGGAACAAGAGGGTATGTCGCTCCTGAATGGTTCAGGAACTTGCCCATCACCGTGAAAGTGGACGTCTACAGCTACGGGGTGTTGCTTCTGGAGATAATATGCTGCAGGAGTTGTTTGAGGAGCGAGGTGAGCAGCGAAAGAGAGGGAGAGCTCTTGACTGATTGGGCTTATGATTGCTTCATGCACGGAAGGCTGGATGCTCTGGTTGAAGGTGACCCGGAGGGTCTGAGTGACAGGACGAAGCTGAAGAATTTGGTCATGACCGCGTTCTGGTGTATCCAAGAGGACCCTTCCTTGAGGCCAACGATGAAGAAGGTGACACAGATGCTGGAAGGAGCAGTGAAAGTGCCTGTCCCTCCATGTCCATTCCCCTTGAACAGCAGCATCTCTTCTTTCCTTCACCCAAATTGAGCAGCGCTCAAGTGATAAGCGATATGTTCTATGAATAGTAATCTTCTCGCGCTGGTTGTGAACATGTTATCTTCGCTACATACATTTTTGCAGCTTGGTGGGTAGCTTACAAAGGAGGAGAACCTGCGGTAGCCAGTGTAAGTTACTACACTATTTTTATATGTACTCCTTCAATTAGAAAATAACTATTTCGATAGTGACTGTAGTACTGAGGGATGCAACTTAGAGGATTTTGTCTTGCGTGAAAATTTTCAACTATAGAACTTGCATCGGCAAGCAATGCAATTTATAGGCCAAGTGAGTATTAAGTTACCACAAAAGATCATTCATGTCCTCAATTACCCAATACTCAACAATTCTGTTCACGATATACTTAAAACTAAGTTTTTTTTAGACAAAGGACGAGTGATTTAATGAAAGCAGTCATGAGTGAAATATGAGGAGAAGAATACTAGAAGTGCCAAAACTTGTGTATGTCAAAAGTTTTCGCCGACTCACTTAAATGCCAAATCGGGGGAAAAATGATCACTTAAGTGCCAACGGCGAGAAATTCTGGCCAAATTAATACGTGGCTTTTATAATTAAAATTTTAATCTTAGTTGGATTTTTTTTTAAAAAAATAAGTGTACGTGGCATTTCTATGTGTACATTTAGATTTTTTAAATATGTTTTCTGATTTTTTTTCCTTCTTTTCTTCTCTTTCTTCTTCTTCTTCTACCTCCGGTCACCGGCGGTGACCGGAGGCCGGCCACCGGCCACGGCCAGCCGCCTGGCGTCGCCCGCCACAGGTGAGGCCCGGCCGACCCCCGCCGGGGAGAGGGCGGGCGAGCCCCGGCGAGGCCATGGCGGCCTCGTCGGATCTGGCGAGGAGAGCCCTTGCCGGGGCTTGCCCTCGCCGGATCTGGCGAGGGGAGCCCTCGCCGAGGCTCGCCCTCGCCCAGGCAAGGCGAGGCCGACCCTCGCAGGGGCTCGCCCTCCCTGGCCCAGGTGAGGGTCAGCCGGGCCTCGCCTGTGGCGAGCGACGGTGGCCTCGTCCGAGCGAGGCCAGGTGGCTGGCCACGGCCGGTGATCGGCCTCCGGTCACCGGCGGTGACCGGAGGTTGAAGAAGAAAGAGAAGAAAAAAAGAAAAGAAGGAAAAAAAAATCAGAAAAAATATTTGAAAAATTCAAGTGTACATGCTAAACTACGTCGTTTTGATGTGTACATGCTGACTAAATCCTCCGGCGAGCCACATCAGCTTCAGAAATTAATAAAAAAATGCCACGTCGGATTTCCGGCCAAATTCACCAGAGTTGGCATTTAAGTGATCGTTTTTTAAAAATTTGGGCACTAAAATGATCCAAAACAAACTTTTGGTACTAAAGTGAGTACCGTACACAAGTTTTGGCACTTATGCTGTTCTTCACCCGTGAAATATGATTCCCAGTACCCACTTTGTCATGACAAGAGGTAGGGGACTCAAGCACTGTATCATACATCCAACCTATGACGGTGAAAAATGACTTGTACGGTTTAAAAGAACGGGATGCTTAATGCGTTGTTACAGTGAGAAGTTCCCAGCTCGCACTTATCTGCATAGATTTTGTACCTGTATGATCAGCATTCACCTTGACACCAGCTTGCACAAGGTAAAGGAACCAGAAATCAAAATATACAGAGTTTGGAACCACTGTAGACTAATTTCAATTCAGCTTGTGAAACCTCTGTTTAATGAAATAATGTAAGAAAGATAAGGCTTCCCTTGGACATCAAGCAAAATTAGTTCCAGTCTGTCGACTGATAACAAATATGAACGACATTGATACTGGGTGAGGTCGCGTTACTTTGCACACAATGATTGAAGATGAAGGAATGATGCTCTACTAGCAAGACGGATCATTATTTTCTTGAAATTTTTCACAATAATCAAATATTCAGAACAGTGGAGATGGCCTTCTCCATGATCCAATGACTCATTGGAAATTCAGGCCGCAATTGTGGTACTTTGAACTTGACTCTGATAACTTGTTTTTGTCGCCAAAGTGCATTACCTCATTAACAACCGGAACTTAAACCCCAAGAAGGTTCGAAATCAAAACATAATTCAAAACATAACAAGGACCATAGATAATGTAGCAATGGGCTAAAGACACTCCTTGCAAATGGACCATGAGCTGGCGACATTCCTCAAGAATTGCCCGGGCTATCCATGTTGTCTCGCCATGGCCCAAGACTTGGAGGATGGTTGACAAACTATCACTTTCCAAGTACGCCCGCAAGTCAAGAACAAGTTCTAGCAAATCAGGTTTTAGCAAAAAAATAAAGTTCTAGGAACAAGTACGCCCTCTACATGTACTTCGCTGTTTACGTTTCTCCCTCAAGAACGACAGGCCCTCCCTCAACGCTAGGGTTTTAGCTACAAGGCCGATATGGAACAAGGATTTTCTTGGCGAAGCCGGCCATGAGGAGCCCGTGAGCGTCTCTACAGACCTCAGCTATTGAACCCGCTTGAGAATTGCTGCACCAGGAGGCGTCGACATGCCCTTCCTCTACCTGACTGTGTCAATTGATAGGGTGGTGTTTTTGGCTTTTGGTCATGGTAATCTTGATAATGCGTAAGCTTGAAAACTTGTCTATAAGGAAAGGAAGACATTAAGGTATGTTGGCATAGAATAACGGATTTTAAACCAAACTAGACACCAAACTGCAATCGCGCAGGTTAGAAGTAAAATATTCAAAAAAGGAGCAAAAGTAAAATGCTAAATATTCTCAAAATTACATCGTCACTTATGATCAAACTCTTTCAGCAAATGAACTCTTTTTTCAAACCTAATCAATCCATGGAAAGAAATTTCGAATGACAAACTTTACTTGACAATTTAAATTTTAGAAGCATCTCCCTTGTATTGGGTTTATAACCCTCCTTTAGCTCTATGGGACCTCTTAGTATAAGAAGCCCACTTGTCTTGTTCATCTTATGCTACTTAAAGAAATGAAAAGGCTTCCATTTTGACCAAAAATAGGAAAATTACCAAAACAGTCATAAACATATTATAATTATGTCAATTCAATTATAAACATTTTGTATTGTGCCAATTTAGTCCATTCGGCCAATTTTAGCAGGCCAGCGTTGACGTAGATACTGGCTAGGCGGCCAACGCTGATGTGACAATTTTTTTAATATTTTTGATTTATTTATTTATTCTTTTTTTTTCTTGTCTTAATCTTCAACCTCCAGCAACAGCGAGGTCAAGCCTCCCCAGGGCCGACCTGGCACGACTCGTCCTTGCCGGCAACTAGCGAGGTCGGCCTTGCCTTCTGGGGGCGAGTTTGAGCCTCGCCCAGTCATGGCAAAGCCGACCCCCGCCTCTGGCTGGTCGTCAGAGATGAAGGTTGTGACGACCAGACCCTAAGCGGCGAGCGTAGGATGAGGGATGGTGGGGGAGGCTGCGCCTCTACCCTGGACGTGCGCGAGGCGAGGCTAAGTGCATGTCTCTTGTCCCACATCGCCAAGGAGGGAGTCCTGGGTTGGTTGATAAGCCTTGGGATTCTCTACTATGTATAAAGCGTTTTAAAGCCGTGAGGGCTAGTGGGCCCAAAGGGAATAATATTACACAGTGGTAGCCCCCTAGGTCCTTACAAAGGTATGAAAAAAGAAAGGGAAAGAAAAGAAATGAATTATTCGAAAATATTAAAAATTGTCACGTCAGCCGCAAAATTGGTTGGATGGATTGAATTGGCATAAATGCAAAATGTTTATGACTTAATTGGCATAATTATAATAGGTTTAGTACTGTTTTAGTAATTTTCCCACCGAAAACAAAAGGATTTAAATAGGAGAAAAGATAAGTAAAGTCGACATTCAATTTGGAGCCCATTTGGTATAAGTGCAGTCAAACTTGTAGTTGTGTTGTAGGCTGAAATCTGCGTGGGCTTTGTAATGTCTCGGTTGTTCTGAAGATGGTCTTGGGCCTGTCACAGATCCGGCCTTCCCTACTCTTGGTAGCAACAAAATCATAAAAATTACCAAAAAAAGGAAGAACTAATACAAGTTTTTCGCCAATTTTCGAAGCCCAAAATTAATATATTTTTTATTCGTTTGGAAATTCTAAGACGGGACCCAATTAAATTACAACTTTTCCTTTTCCTCTCTTTTCCTTTTTTTTTCCCAGAAGAGGAAACGGGTCTAAGAGGGATGCCTGCCGAATCAGCCCCTCGATCCTTCCAGGAAACCATCCGGGCCGTCCGTTTGTTCCCTTCCTCGCGATAAAACAACAGCGTGCGTCGGTCGGTCGTACCGCCCCCGCACGCATCTCCTGCGCTACGTATTCTATAGAGGCATCGTCGTCGTCCCGACAACCTCTCAAAATATTCGTTCAAAATAAATCTGCCGCAGATCATTCGAACTCCTGAGATCGCACGCGGACATTGAATTCGTTGAATCGTCGTCTCTCTCTTTAGGATTCGGACGTTCAAGAACTGCTTGCCGGATTTTGTCTTGCGTTTTTTCTTGAATCGGAGCGGAAGATTTGTTGGGTTCTTGCTTGCTTTGCGATCCCTCCTTCGGTGTTCCGGAAAGATACGATCTTTTGCGGGACAGGTTCGCCGTCAGGGGTCGGTAAAGAGGGAGTTTTTTTTTCCTTGAATCGGAGGATGAAGGATCAGCCTCACTTGATGAATCAGGCGCCGATGATGATGAGTCAGAGCCCGATGATGAACCCGCCTCCTCCGCAGGTGATCTTGAACCAGCCCCCTCAATTGATGAGCCAGCCCCAGCTGATTGGCCAGCCCCAGGTCCTGAATCAGCAGCCCCAGCTGATTGGGCAGTCCCAGATGTTGGGTCAATCTCAGGTGCCCAGTTTGAACAGGAGTTACAAGATGTGGCCTCAGAAGCAGAAGCAGCAGAAGCCTTCGCTTGACCCTAATGTGCAGTTTCTCGGCTCGATGAACCCGGGTTTCGGGCCTTTGAAGCAGCCGCTGATGCCGTTGCCCGGTAGAAGCAATTGGAAGGGCAAGAAGCCCAATGATAAGCGGAATGACCCGAGGAAGGTCACAATGGTGATCCCTAATGCCGGGATGAGCGGTGGTGCCGGTGGCAAGGGCTACCAGCCCCCTGCTCTCAGCGATTTGCAGTTCCAGAATCGCCTGAAGTCTAGAAAATATTACCCCAAGAAGAAGTTCAATAATCGGTTTGCGCCCTATGCGCCCAGGAACACGACTTCGTTTATCATAAGAGCGAAGAAGTCGGGCGGCATTGCCTCGATGGTGTCCCCGTGTCCGGTCACGCCGGCGGTGCTACCGACGCCGATATTTTCTCCCTCTAGAGAGGTGTTGGTTGATATGGCAAAGGAGGAGTGGGGTGTGGACGGGTATGGGTCCATGAAGGGTCTCATTAGGCTACGGAATGAGGTAGAGAACAGGGACAACGAGGAGGAGGAGGATGAGAATGAGGAGGAAAATAATGGGTCTAGCGAGAGCGACGTAGAAGAGGAGAAGGATAGCGTGATGAGCAGACTGGATCATGAAATGAATCGGTTTGAGATGGTTTACCCCAATTACGGGTCTGATTATAACAATTTACTAGTGAATAGGGTGGATGATCAAGATACCCACATTGCGCAACTCGAGGAAGAGAATCTAGCTTTGCGAGAAAGGCTCTTCTTGATGGAGAGGGAAATGGAGGACTTGAGGAGGAGGTTGAATTTCCTGGAGAGGCAGAACCATGTGGACAAGCATGCGAACGAGGAGGTAGTGGAGAATGAGTCTGAAAATGAGAGTGAGGAAGAATGCAATGTTCATGTTCTGGGTGGTGTGTGCAAAGGAGAGGACATGGATTGTGTGGATGGTTATATAGATGGAAGGGATGTTCAGTTCAATGGTGATGCCAAAGAGGAGAAATATGATTCAATACTAGGAAATAAAGCTATTCCGGAGGTTGCTATGGAAGAGTTTACTTCAAACGAGGCAATTCTAAAAGAAGATGAGTCAAGATATGAGGAACAACGTGATGGGGTCATCCTGGGAAGAGTAAAATCCGAGGGTGATGAGGGGACGAAAGTTGCAGAGGACGAGGTTTCGCATGAAGCGGATGCTAAACAGGATGAGTGCGAACAGAAGGACGATGCAAATGTGCCTTTGGAGAAGAGCATTGGCGATGGTCAATAATTTTGCTAGCTTTCATCTATCTCAAGCCTCCTCCAAGGTTGGATATTGGTGAAAGGCATGTTAGCTCATGCCATAATTCGTTGATTGTCATGCTTCTTTCTCAGTGCTCCATAAATAATTCCGATTCTGGCAATTAATAGACGTTGCTTGTTAGCTGAGAGTGAAAACATGGTCAATGGGCTTCCAAACTTAGCCATTACTCTGCTCTCTTCAGATAATAACCGTCGTTGGTTTACTTCACTCTCTTCTTTATGCTAAAGTATTGTGATCTTGTGGATTCTTACTTTTATGTCTGGAAAGCATTGAGATTGAGCGCGAGTAGATTTATGTTTCTCTTCTGATGTCATGAAAACCACATTTTCTTGGACTGCATTACTTATTGATATATTATGCATTTACATCTCTGAAATTAGACTGTAAGGTAATGTGAATACAGGAGAGAGGACCACTCCTTCAAGGCCTCTGTGGTCTGGATGTTTGTTTCAGTTGCCATATGATTGCATTGATTGGATTAGAAGCTAACTGTACTACTGTGTAGTTCTCTTTTGAGGAGAAGCCTTGCTGGATTTTTTTTCGTCTTCTTTTCCTGGAACATTCAGTATCGTGGTAGCAAGATCAGCGACCTTATATGTATGGTGACGTTTATCCTTTCCCCGTTAAAAAAAATTGTAATTTTCTTGATTATACTGACATTCGGAGATGGAGTGTTGCCCAAGTGTGCTGTATATGTACAAATTTACCGGTATCTATACCATAAAGGATTCTTGGTGAAGGTTTTATTGAGCCTAATGTCGGGGACCCATGATGATATGATGATGTTCAGCACCTCTGGCTGATCCTTTACACATCGAGGCAAGTATCTGATTGAAGGTGGGCAGGAAAGATTCTCTCTCTCTCTCTGTCATTTGACTCGTGGAGATTAGCAAGACTTGGGAAAGACAGTTGTAGTATTGTCATGTTCGTGGGTTCTCTTGGGCAGTTGGCTTTTTCTGAAATGGGATGAATGTGTGAGAATTTTTATCAAGACACAAACTCTGTTCCTCTCTTTTGCTGTTGGTCCATGCAACACCAGAGCTTCATTTCACGTCTTTTTGTCTCGATGCTACCAAATGAAGTTGTTGTCAGTTGTTTAAAAGTTAACTTTAGTTCGTCTTACGGACGGCTCGGAGCGATTGTAGCAATCGGACCTATCTTGAGTTGGATAGGCAGACTAACCGACAATTGAGTCAATGAGATAACGGGATAAGAACATTAGGAGTGCCATAACTTTTTTTTCGCTCACTTGAGTGTTATATTAAAGTAAAATGGATCATTTGAGTGTCATTTCCAGCAAATCATCTTATGTGAATTTTTTAATTAATTTTTCATTCGATGTGGATTTTTTTAATGTTATTTTATTTTATTTTTTGAATGTTTTTTCTTTATCTTTTTTTTTTCTTTCTTTTTTTTCCTTCTTTTTTTTTCAAGGTTGGCGATGGTCACTAAAGGCCTCGCCCTTGGCCAAACTGGGCGGGAGCTGCCTCGCCATCAGCCGGTATGGCCATGAAGGCCCTTGGCGAGGCCATCGCGGCCTCGCCAACCGCGAGCGAGGCGGCAAAGGCTCTCGCTAGATCTAGCGAGGTTGCCTCGCCCGCGGTTGCGAAAGCCCTAGGCGAGGCCATCGTGGCGTCGCCGGTCGTGGGTGAGGCGGCGAAGGCTCTCGCCAAATCTGGCAAGGCCACCTCGCCCGCAGCCGCCCAGATCTGGCAACGGCCTTCGCGGCCAAGGGCAAGGCGGATTGGGCGAGGCCTTCACAGCCAACGAGGGTCGCCGGTGACCCTCGCCGATATTGGAAAAAATAACAAAAAATTCAAAAAATTATTAAAAAATTATCCACGTCAGCTTTGGCGAAGCCACATAGGACAATCAGCGTCCACGTCGGATTTTCTGGCGAAACAAATCTCCGATGGCACTCAAGTGATCAATTTTTCAAATTTGTGGTACTCAAGTGAGCGAAAAAAAAGTTATGACACTCAAGTGAGCGCCGTACGAAAGTCATGGCACTCCTAGTGTTCTTATCCCATGAGATAACATTATCACTTTCTGCTTCCATTGATATTCTTTTGCCCTGTAACATGGATTTCTATGAATCAGTTTCTGTTGCTTATAAAGATCTACTGGTGTTATTTCGCAAAGGCAAGAAATGAATGACATATTTGTGTGTGAATATGATGCAACAAGAGGTCTTACAGAGTCTTTATTTTACCAGTTTAAAACGATTCCAAGCATGGTGTAGTACGTTTGCAGAGTTTAATTGGCCGAAAGCTTTTAATCTTTGTCAGCCGTTCTCTCATCAGAGCAATATTTTTTTCTTGCTTATTCATAGTTTGTTGGCTCTTTCCTAAAGGTTTTGCAGGAAGGACTCGCCATTTTGATTCTTGGTTGCTAATTGTTCTCGATGCGTGATTTACAAATGGTGCCTTGTGTTGAGACATGGACGATCTGCCATTCATGGAGCGGATGGACCAGCCAGCAAGCATGAAATGGAAGAGAAATAAAATAGTATTAAATCAAGTGTTTACATTTAGCCGGCGTGATTGTAAATCTGGTAGACATACATTGGTTTGTGTCGTGCAATGTCTGGGAAGCACATAGTAGCATATTTACTTTGTTCCATCCACACGAAGGTGCACAAAAACTATGTTGTTGTAACCCCGAGTGATCCTGATTTTGTCATCCGTATATCTGCGAGAGAAAATTGAGGTATGCGTGCGTGATAGGATCAAATTCTGGGGGTGTTAAACTGTTAAGTCGTTTAGAAGTCATAGGGGACAGCTAATCTTACAGAAGCTCCAGCTTAAACTTGCTCTCCATTTCCACAGGATATCCAAAGGGGCCTCCGATGATGGCGGCATCGTCCATCGTGACATCATATGCATTGGTGCCGGATTTCCTGCGAAGGGATGAGATGCGGTGAAACTTCGCCTTCAAATTTGCCTAAACCGCAGTTATGTTCCAAGAAATGTGCGCATGAATTTGTGAAATGAGCATTTCGTATGTGAAGGAAGAATGCATGTGATGTCACGATGGACGACGAGACATCCAGCTGCCAGCTCAGGTCGCCCGTATCGTGATGCATACCATGTCTATAACCCACCCTTTGGCTTCGAGTTTGACTCATTCACCATTTTCTCGAGTCCAAGGATTTTCAGCTGAGCTTGGTGGAGAATCAGCTAGGCTCGAGATCGGGAAAAAGTTTCCTGAATTAGGACCTAGAAAACTATTTTCGAAAAATTGTTTTTCGACTTTTTGTTGTTTAAATGATGGAAAACTAATCGATTTACGAAAATCGTTTTTCATGGACTAAAAACAATAAGTTAAGATTGATGGAAAACGACTTCTTTTTTTTATAAGAAGGAAATTACTTTTCCTGAAACACCAAACAAATGAAAACTAACCATTTTCCTTGAAAATGATATCCATGAAAAATATTTTCTTTATCATGAAGTTTTCAACAAAATATCGTTTGTTTTGTGGAAAATGAACGACTTGGAATATGTTTTTATTAAAATGATCACTTATTTTGCTTAAATAATTAGCCAATGAAAAATGTCTTTGTTATTGACAACAATTCATGTCTAAACATTCGTGGATGATGAAAATATTTTTCGTTAATTCATTTTTGTAAGGGGCAAAAGCCAAGAAAAACCCTAAACTATGCCTAATGTAGCACATTTACTCTAAATTTTTTTTCTTGTGACAAAAAAAATCTCAAACTTGTACCCATGTGACAAATTCACCATCCGTCAAGTTCTGTCAATAAGAACTGTTAGAAATTTGCTTACATGGACGCTAGAAACCTAATAGTGTTGACATGACATCCACGTGACTTAAGTGAAATCAAATCGACATTATTTTAGCTGAAAAATCATTTAACAGAACCTTGATGGAAGGTAATGGATAGGTACAATTTTTGGTTTTTTATATCACAAGAAAAATTTAGGGTAATGTGCCACAGTGAGTATAGTTTGGAGTTTTTGATGTTACAAAAAAGAGTTCAAAATAAATGTGTCACAGTGGGTATATTTTGTGATTTTTTTGTGGTCTTTTCGCTTAACAATCATTTTTAAGAAAATATTTTCCAAATCATTCATTTTCCGTGAAACAAACAGAACCCATACCATCAAACTAAATAAATTTTGTTGGATATCCTTGCATTTTGAAAGATTGGATGCTTCATACTCTCAATCATTTTGGGTTATTATTTTAGTTACTCCACTTTCAAGCACGAGTCCTTCACGAATATAATTTTAGTGGTCCTCTTACTCCAAATTCGTAAGTGGATTGGTTGTGGCATTATTAATCACCTGGGCATCCAAAGTGCACCTGCTCACATGCATGCGTGAATGTGCATGCGCATGCGCATGCGCATGCGCATGCGCAAGTGTACAAGAGTGTTGAATATTTTTGTAATTCCAATTTGTCTTGTGATCCATATATGCACATATAACAGATGGTGCTTCATACTGTCCGATAGGAATCGCATTCTCTCTAGGTGCATATATCTTTGACCTTGCCTTCAGCGTAATGTTCACTACTAAGAACCGGAAAACTAAGTGCCACAGCGTATATCCTACCCCACAGCAAAAGAGAAAGGAAAGCAAGATACTTACACAAATGAGCCATTCACGGAGAATCTCAGACCAGGCAAGATGTTCACCACAAATTTCAGTTGTCCACTCCTTTTGACAATCTACAAGGAGCGTGACAAACTTTAGAAGGGGTGGACTCGCGATAACTTTATGAAAGGGGCATCTTACTTAAACCTACCTGGGCACCCATAAGGCCATTGGCTGCATTCTCTATCCAACTGTCCGTCTCCATCTGCACCGCACAAGACACAGTTTAGGCTATGTAAGAAGCAATGAGATGCACCAAGGATATGTCACCGTTTGTTTAAATTACACTGCTGTATTTTGTACAACAAAAGTTGTGTCGGAATGTTTTTGACACTGTTGAATTTGGTATGGCGGGATAATTGTGTTGGAATGGTTGTGGCATCATGTTAACATAGAAAATTCTAGGACCAACTGGAAAAAAAATGCTGCAATACTTGCACCTCGTTCATTCCGTTGGATTAGCATGATAGCCAAAACGCCCAAGTGCCAATCTATTCAGCCCGATGAAAGTCAATAAAAGTAAACACGATAATGGAGTTGTAGGGCATTGACTCTAGTTTCTGCTCCCTTTGGGTCTTTAGGATTTCTAAGAATTGTCAGCTCCAACACTCGCATACAGATGGGCAAATTTCTAAAAGGACGTGGCCATGGAATAGCACACGAGACTTCCAACAA